GGTTGCTCAAAACCTAGCAGGCATGCATACAATATACAATGTGCAGTTACAAAATACAACCGATGCAGAAAGACAATCATCTATCTCATTTTGCACTTTGTTATTGTATCTAAATGTCGCTTAAGTGTCTTAATTCTAAATTATCGCTCAAAGTAATTTGTGATAAGCTTAAACCCGGTTTAAAAAAATCTTAGTTCTACATTTGATGATTCAAATGGACATGAAATCCAATGACTTAACTCACCCAGACTTGGCGAGAAGATTGTCTGCCATTGTCGAATCCCGTTTAATCTATCGATTAAGCAAAAACCACTTTACGCGCTACGAAAACGTTTTTTAATCACTTAATGAAAAGCAGAAGTGCTTTTTATGGTTTTGAGTCAATAATTTATCTCCTATAAACAAAATAACAGCATATTTTTGTGGCGTCCTACCTTCAACCTGAAAAGTGGCGTTCAGGCGTCTGCGACGTGACCACGCGAACGTTATGACATGCGCAGTATGTACATAGTTCCCCTAATGACTTCCGGTAGGCGTTTGTGACCTCAAGAACGTCTGGTGCTTAAGCTCTCTATTAATTGTCACTGCTAATCGCCGTCGCAAAGTACAGCAACGACGCAACTCAACAAGGTCGAATCGAAAGCTTACAATGGCGCCTCTGTAAAATTTTCATATTAACGCCGTAATAAGTCACTTTAAACGGAGGTATCACAGAGTCGGCCAACACCATAGAAATCTCAGTCCAGACCCTTGTAGTCACTTGATGGTATTTAAACTCGGGGTCAATCAGAGTTGACATCCACCAAAAATTATCGTGAACTGTGTGATATAAAGTATTTCTGGTGGTTTTCTATAAAATAAAAACGATGATGATAAAAATTATGATAATGATGTTGAGTCATCAGTTGGACTTCATATAAGAAACAAAACGTTTTCTGAGGCCCAGATGTTACCACGGTCAGGGCACAGCAGGTATTTCAAACGCAGCACGTTATGTCACTACACCTAAATGGCGAATAAAATTATTACACCCGAGAGGTGCGTCTAATGATTCCGAGTCATGTCAAAATCGTATCGAATGACAAGAGTTGCCTTACCTCGAGACTCTCTCGCGCCTCATCTAATTATGTCAAGAGGTAGAGTGCTCGTTTGGAATGAGCCTGATAGGCATGTTTAAACACGGAGACAATATATCGCATTAGGTTGCGTCATTTACGAAACTTGCCGGCTCGGCCGATCTTCAAACAAATGACTTTCGACTTACACTGTTATATGTGTAACGAATATCCACAATAGGAATTCCAAGCCTTTGGATGAAGTTGACATAATCACTGCCTGCTCTTGGTTGCTGAAGTCTGAAGAAAGTAATGACATAATAATAACTATTACACGACTCGGGCAGTCAGAGGGCCAATAACTAAAATCAACCAATCAAATTGCTCTATTGCCGGTCAATATTCTCTCAGTATTGGACCGGGCACTGTCCCGAATGGTCCCGAATGATACCGCACTTGTGTGTCCCTTTGAACTTCAGTCGTATATAAAATCTCTTATTAACCAAGCTTGCTCGGGACCGTACCGGAAGAATATCGGCCCTCGGTCTTTTTTGTACGGACCTCGCTGCGCTCGGTCCGTACTGTCAAGACCTCGGGCCGATATTCTCCCAGTACAGCTCTCGCGCTTGGTTAATAAGATATATGTAAGTAATGATAAGTAACAATCAAAAGTGCATAGACTACTAGGACATATTTTTGTGTGTTTCTTCCGTATTTCCTTCGTATAAATAAATACCAGAAAAACAAAGTGAATTCTGAGAGATACCATACCTTGGCAAATAGTTTAGTCCCAACGTGTTTGGAATTTTCCTGATCCATTCCTCAAAAGCTGTCTCGTTTCCTAAGGGGCTTGGTACCTGAAAAATGAAATCGGTCGTTCAGTCTGGTTACCCCCATTATCTGAGCTGTGCGCCCTGAAAGATTTCGAGATTCATATTTTCTAAATCGTAAAGAATTTGAAAAACAGAACTGTGACGTAAATTTAACTTTGGACAAGAGATGAAACCTTAAAATCAGCCTGATGCCTCCTTTACTCTTGGCAGGAAATATAACATGGACGACTGGATATCGGACACAATATTGAACATTGAGGTTACTTGTCCCGTGTATGCTTACCACTTATGCTAACCACGTATGCTCTTATCCCGTTCTATTGTGTATTTTTATGTCGAAATAATGGCATCCAAGTGGTGTATCGCTAATCTCCCTCTGCTCCAATTCCGTTGTCTGGGAGTCAACACGAGCAAGGTTTAAGTAGCTAAATTTACTAACCTTCATTGCTCTTTTGACCACAACCCAGTCCATGAGAGGTGCAGACTTTGCTCGGAAAGAATAGTTTCCTTACGAGTAACAGAGATGACTCATCAACGAAAACGCACTACTTGACCTAAAATTTTGAATGTTTACTTCTAATGACTGAAAAGTGTGCCTTGCGGCGTTATCGAACAAATGTAAATAGAATTGAAAGTACGTTTTAAAG